TAATATCTCCTGGCTAGGTTCCTTTTCAAGAGACTTTGAACTACGCTTTCTGAAGCTTCTCAAATACCAGTTCAAAGAATTTCCCTCCATATTGGCTCTCAGCATTGATGAGTCAGCTAGCCTTGGTGCAAAGTTTGATGAATCCGACCAAACTCGATCATTTTCAAAGGAGGATCTTGATCGTATGATGTCTCCATTTGATTTAAAAAGGCTTGAATCATATGCAAATAATATGCTAGATTACCATGTGATACTTGATCTAGTTCCGGACCTCGCCTTTGCCTATTTCAATGGTCAGCTTAAGTCAAACCTCAAATTAACTGGTATTCAGTCTTCAATTCTTCTGGCTATTGGGTTACAATGTAAAGATTTGACGGATGTTGAGAAAGAACTTTCATTACCATCTTCACAGCTTCTCGCTATGTTCATTAAAATCATGCGTAAGATCAGTTCTCATTTTGCGGAATTAGTGTCCGATTCGCACGAAGCCAACATGCCTGCAAGAGAGGCTATTGGTGTAAGTAGAGCAGATGCGAACGCAGCTCTGGACGATGAGGTCATCGATACTCAGTACGTAGCTCTAGAGACAAATTTAGAGGAAGAGCTTGAAGAGGGTGGAAACGAGGCCTTAAAAGAACTTAAGGAAAAACAAAGGGAGTTGATAAATGCTCTTCCCTTAGACCAGTGAGTCACTATGCCCGAACGAAATTCATAACCCTGATAGATTCTAGATATGAAATCGAGCAGGGGGCCCCAGGCTGGGCTGATGCCGAGAAGCAAGTACTTAAGGCTTCAAAGAGTGGTAAAAAAAACCCAGTCGTCAGTATCAAGGGTAAAAAGTTAAAGCGGAAGGTGTCAGAAACAGCCGCAGAAATATTTGAATCAGAAATTGGGGAAAAAAATTTGAAGAAGTCAAAAAAATTACATAGAAATTAAAAAAAATGACAATATCGGAGTTCAGAGATAAAGGATGGCGTTATGAGCAATGGGTTCCGGGAACAAATTTTCTGTAACTAATATCAGTCTGGATGAAGCAACCAATGGGCCATTTCATTTATGTATACCTCTAGATCATCGCCCTTTCAAAAAAGAAATTGTTTAAATTAAATCGTGTTGCAATTAATTCTTAGTATGTGTAAAGCTAAGGATAATTAGGATAGTTTTATGAGAATAATCTCGGGTATTTATTATAATGGTAGAGTATCGACGGGCCTTATAATCAACACTAATTTGACTAAGCGGCTTGAGAAGCTCTGCCAGTATTCTAGTGATGAAGCATATTTACTCATTAGAGTTAACAGCTTTTACAGTTCTATAAAGTGGATGAAGAGCAATGGTAAACCTAAAGTTTGTCAATAAACACATAGATTCAGCACCGATGTAGAAAGACCCTGTATATTACCAGTTCGAAACTTCCAGCATCAAGGCGTCCCTAACTATCAGGGCATACATCGGCACTAGTCTTGGCCTAAAATCTTTGAGTGAATTTCAAATGTTGGAAATATAGCACAAAGGGACGGGCACTAAATCCTTGGAAAGAAGCTAGCTACCCGTATGTCATGCTCAAGTCAATATGAAAAGAAGGGGAGTTGCGCGCTATAAAAAAATAAATTATTCAATTTTCCTGATTTGGCGCCTTGAGGCCCATGCAGGTTTTATCGGAAGATATTTACTTAAAGTAGGATGACTCAATTTGACGTTTAAAATACTCACACTCAGATTTCATTTGCAAATACCACGAAAGAGATTGGTGTGTGGGTCGTTCTGGATTTGAACCAGCTTTCTCCTATCTCAAACGGGGTAGGTGTTCAAGCTACCCAGAATCTATTTGGGAGAACGGTCCGAATGGTATACCGCTGCACCATCCAGCCCTGAATGGTGTAAAAGGCCGCGCTATCCAGGCAGCAATTGGAAGATCAACTCGGACGACGCTTCATTGCACCATCATAGTTTCCTCTCAAATAACGATATCTTAGGAGGGCAAGACTGAATACCTGTACGCGGTGCCTTCTACGACACGCCCACGCCGATATTTACACCCGACGGAGGAAGCAAACCGTGCTGCACAAATCTGGGAGATAGTTCTTTGCGATGGACGTGAGAGGAATCAGGACATGTTGACAAGATGATGCAAAGGAAGGATATAACCTCGACGGGCATGAGATTCCGAATTTTGGCAAGGAGTTTTACGAATTGAGCTTTGTGTGCGCCAAGACTTCACTTGCGAGAGTGCAGCTGACACTATAAACACAAGCAAACGATGAAAGGTGTTGTGGTCCGCCTCCTGGTGGTGTTCTCTGGCATAGTTTGAGTAGCCTGGGCACCTACTCCACTTGGGAAAGAGACACCTCAGATCACATTTCGCCCGGAGAAAAGTTGAAAGATGATGGAAGCATGTCTGGATAACTCAGGGTTTTTGAGACGTTCCCCTGGGTGGGTATTCACGGACGAGGGTTGACTTTGGGTGAAGAAAATGCCACCATAACTTCGCAATGGTACTTGCAAATGAAATCTGAGGCATAAGTGCTCTTCTTGTAAATTGAGTCATATTTTCTGTACTTTTCTCTGATATTGTGTCATAGCTAGATAGCTGCATACGCAATTAAAATCTGATGCAATAAAAAAAAAACTACCAAGGGTGGAGATTGGAAACGGTTGCTAAGCAACGGAGACTATTATGATCAGCGTCGTTAATCAAGATCCCTTATGGAAATAGCAAGATGTAGGAGACATTCCGTTTTTAGATTTCGTTAATTATCTGATTTTATTCTGGACTTGCTCTGCTGTATACCAACACCAATTGATCCGGCGACATTGGCTCCCCAAATAGAGCCTGCACAACTTGAACAACAAATTTTTTAGAAACAAGGAATCAATAGTTTAATCTGATCGAGATTTAGCCACAAATCACTCGTTTCATGCATCAGTATAGTGAAAGAATGCTTGATTGATGGAGGGTTTGAATTTTGTTTATGTTGATACCCATGAAAGAGGGTTAATAGTAACAATTTACCAACCATAATTAAGAGGAAAATTTATGAGTAAGACTTAGAGCATGTTATCTCCAAGACTAAAATTGCATCCAAAATTGCATCCAAAATTGATAATAAAAATAAAAATAGCTAGATATAAAAAAAAGGCAGAAATCAATTAAAAGAACTTTAAATTAAATGCTAATTCGTGCAATATAGCGGTATGGCGAAGACCACTTTTTCAATTGATAAGATTCAAATGCTCTTAGTAGCTTTGATAGAATGAAAAACCTTGATAAGCGACAGATAAAGATTTAAGCCTGTGCAGTTGTGACGGGCTTTGCCCGGACTGGGACTGGTCACTAGGACCACTCCGTCTCTAAGGTAAGGTAGTGGCAGAGCAACGCCCCTGGATAGACTAAAGGGGAGCTAAGGAAGATAGCCGGGAGAAAGGATGATTCTCATAGTGCTAAGGAGGATAGCCAGGAGAAAGGATGATTCTCATAGTGCTAAGGAGGATAGCCGGGAGAAAGGATGATTCTCAGGGAGCTAAGGAAGATAGCCGGGAGAAAGGATGATTCTCATAGTGCTAAGGAGGATAGCCAGGAGAAAGGATGATTCTCAGGGAGCTAAGGAAGATAGCCGGGGGAAAGGATGATTCTCAGGGAGCTAAGGAGGATAGCCAGGAGAAAGGATGATTCTCAGGGAGCTAAGGAAGATAGCCGGGAGAAAGGATGATTCTCAGGGAGCTAAGGAAGATAGCCGGGGGAAAGGATGATTCTCAGGGAGCTAAGGAAGATAGCCGGGAGAAAGGATGATTCTCATAGTGCTAAGGAGGATAGCCAGGAGAAAGGATGATTCTCAGGGAGCTAAGGAAGATAGCCGGGAGAAAGGATGATTCTCATAGTGCTAAGGAGGATAGCCAGGAGAAAGGATGATTCTCAGGGAGCTAAGGAAGATAGCCGGGGGAAAGGATGATTCTCAGGGAGCTAAGGAGGATAGCCAGGAGAAAGGATGATTCTCATAGTGCTAAGGAGGATAGCCGGGAGAAAGGATGATTCTCAGGGAGCTAAGGAAGATAGCCGGGAGAAAGGATGATTCTCATAGTGCTAAGGAGGATAGCCAGGAGAAAGGATGATTCTCAGGGAGCTAAGGAAGATAGCCGGGAGAAAGGATGATTCTCATAGTGCTAAGGAGGATAGCCGGGAGAAAGGATGATTCTCAGGGAGCTAAGGAAGATAGCCGGGAGAAAGGATGATTCTCATAGTGCTAAGGAGGATAGCCAGGAGAAAGGATGATTCTCAGGGAGCTAAGGAAGATAGCCGGGGGAAAGGATGATTCTCAGGGAGCTAAGGAGGATAGCCAGGAGAAAGGATGATTCTCAGGGAGCTAAGGAAGATAGCCGGGAGAAAGGATGATTCTCAGGGAGCTAAGGAAGATAGCCGGGGGAAAGGATGATTCTCAGGGAGCTAAGGAAGATAGCCGGGAGAAAGGATGATTCTCATAGTGCTAAGGAGGATAGCCAGGAGAAAGGATGATTCTCAGGGAGCTAAGGAAGATAGCCGGGAGAAAGGATGATTCTCAGGGAGCTAAGGAAGATAGCCGGCAGAAAGGATGATTCTCAGGGAGCTAAGGAAGATAGCCGGGAGAAAGGAGTATTCTCATATGGCCAAAGGGGGGAGTTAACACTAGCGTACGCGGAAGACATAAAAGGCAGGATACGATACAGTAGTTTAGCTTCCCAAGGAAAAATAATTAATTCCTATTGAGTCAACGACTTTCGAGTACTTCCGAATTCCTTGGACCTTTTACAGCAGTGTACAAAAACTTTTTGCGAATTTTTAGAATATTGAGAGCTTGCAGGTCTGTACCACTATTTATCAATTCCAGAAAGTTAGCAATATCAATAGAAATGCTTATATAAGTGGTTAAAGCTTAAAAAACGAAATTATCTTAGAATCTAAATTTGGATTAGTCACGTGAATATCTATTCCTGTGTCGATCACAAGATCTTGCTTGTGTTTTCCTTCAAACAACAAATCTTGCAAGTCTCGTAGGAGCATATCTTTTTTGATTTCTTCTTATTTGAGTCGATCCTTCACTAGGATTTTGGCCACGGTTAGCAGATTTAAATTCAGCTTGAAATTGAAGTGAGGGATTATCCTCCGGTCTTTGAGAAAATGATCCTGATCCTGACAGTGATAATGATAATGATGGTAGTTGAGGTACTGAAAAAGCTAGTCGTGGAAGTGTTTCTGGAGCTGTTGTTGGATTCATTGATGGAGCTTGAAATAAATCTATTGGTGGAAGTCTAGGTTCATCGATTGTTTGAGCTGGTCCCTGAGGTGTTTCCTGATCAAGAGATGGTAGGTTAGGAGTTTTGAGAGAGTCCAAGGGCGGTAGGCTAGGCGTTTTCAGAGAATCTAGAGGCGGTAGTTCAGTTCGATCTGATGTTGGATCTATTTTTGGGGCCAATTCTGGGACTGTCATTTGATCTGGTGGCGGAGCTTGGAATACGTCTGGCTGTGGTGGTGTTGGTAGGGATGGATTGGGAGTCGAAGTTTTCATTTCAGCCACGCCCTTTTGTAGCGCAAGAATATGGCTAAAGTCAAAGGAGTCTTGGCCTAAACTCCATGCCATAACACCGCCGAGGTTGCGTGGTTTAACGATGTCGTTGAACTTACGGGAAATAATTTGAGGCGTATCCCACGTCCAGAAGAGGTTATTTTGTTGATCGTAATAGTACTCGCCGCCAGCTTGCTCATCAGTGACACCATTTTTCATGGCAGTTTGGAATTTTTCGGACAAGCTCTCCGTTTTGCAGCCCGAGCCAAATACAGGGCCAAGGCAGGCATCACAATGAGCAGCTGAATCACCACTGTATAAGGGTTAGATTGACGAAATAATTTTTAGATATAGCAAGGGGAGAGATAAATACCAGAAACCGAAAGCTGAGCAGCAATTACCAGCTGCACAGAAGGTACCCGCTGTGGGGCCACAGGCTCCATCGACTGATTCGGTCATGTTAGTTGGGGGTGTAGCGTAGTTTTCCAATTCAAACGTTATGGCTCCGCTTAAACCCGTATCTGATCCGTCCGGACTTTCCAATTCTGCTGTCGCGCAGCCAAGTCCATTTTGACAAGTCTGATTAGCATCGATCGTAGCCCACTTTGCATACATGGGGAAACCTAGATTAAGTTTTAGTGGGTCAAGGGAAAGTTTGTTTAAGTAATAATCAACAATTTCCAATGACGCCTTAACATCTGTGTGGTGTTTAGTAATTTTGTCGCGACGATTGAACAGATCGTAGCTCATCAAGTTTACCCAGTCAACTGAGCGCCAAATAGAAGGAGCCGTTTCGGGTGTGAATGCCATCAAGTCCCCCACCTTACCCGGGGTTGCTATTGTCAGAAGCTTTTTGGGTCCTATTGCTGCCCGAATTTCAGCCAGCAACAAGGGATACGTTTCAATCTCCGAAACTTTATCTTCATTCGGTGATTGCTTGTAGTCAGAGGAATTTCCGCCTGGGTATTCCCAATCTATATCGACTCCATCAAATCCGAATTTTTCTAGCATAGCAGCAATATTGGTAGCGTACAGCTTGCGAGACTCTTCTGTTGCAGCTCCCATGCTGAAGCCTGCAGTGTCACCCCAACCTCCAACAGCAATTAGAACTTTGATATCGGCATCAAATTTGGTGCGCAGAGTGGGTATGTCTTCAAATGGGACATATTCTCCAGCTGGTGACGTGGTAAAGAGAGAGGAATTTGCGAAGGCCATAATCACATGATCGATTCCTGTATTCATAGTAGTCGGGGGTAGGTTTTTGTGGTATCTGTGGGAATTTTATAAGCTTTATATATCAGATTTAATTGAATATCATACTGATCATAATAGAATACATATCGAGCCTGGATAGATGCGGCATAAAAAATAATGGAAAAAAAAAAAGAGTGGACTGGTAACATTGTGAACCAAAAGAATGTTGAAGAGAATGAATAGTTACCGTGTATGGCTTCAAAGTGCCGTGATTGAACATGTACTTATATCCATCAGCCATCGTGTCGGGCTAGTCAGGTCCTGGCATATTGAAGATTTACGTTTTGCGAATGATTTAGCCCATGATACGGAGTGTTCTGGCTTAACATGAGACTAATTCAAGACGCGCGATTCATGGATACGATGGCATGCTCACAGTATAGGTATCCTTGGCCTGTAGGCAGAGAGGACCTGCATGTCCTACATAGTCATAGACTTAGACAGGACAATAAAATGAATTAATAATAATGGCATGCTCACAGAAAACGGGGCCTTCGACCCCATTTCCTAAGTTCTAATCACTCGATACAAAATTTCCTTCTGAAATCCTGTTTTGCATATTCCAGGTACAGGATATCTAAAGAATTTAAATGAATAGAAAAATGGGTCACGGCATATTGTCGAGTTTTAAAACAAAAATTTTGTTAGGTTTTTGATCAAATAGTTTTTTTGAGCATTTTTTCATACGTGGACTTCACATCAGTTGATATACGAGTTACGACGTCTGTAATAATGAGATGTACCTGTCATTAGTTATTAGAATGTTATCTACGTCTACTGTTAGATGCAAAATGCTCTAGATATAACCCAACATGGGTAGTCGGGTATTTGAAATGATACAAATGACTCGTAGATTTTACGATAATATCTATTTTCACTGGTCATAGAGGGGCTCGTTAATTTTGATCGAGGCTCCTTTGTAACATGTCTCTAATTTAAGACCGGGTTAGTATGTAATTTTATGGAGAATGTCAATTTTGAAGGCTCAAAAACTTGCAAAATTTTGTGATTAAACAATTTGGCGAGCATGATGATGATTGGAATTTGTACCCATAAATTGATTATCCAATTAAGATATTTATCTAATTCTGTATGGCTAAGAATACCTAGGATCAGTGGGGTGATATCACCGAGCAAGAGTCATGAAGGTCAACTGAATACTCAAGGCCAGTAAAGAGAAAGGATCTCTTGTACCCCGCAGAGTATAAAAAGAATTATGATCCTAGATTAGTACTTTGCACAATACCTGAAATCGATTTTACCCAATGACTCGGTGCACGAATCTATCAAGCGGAACCTGAAGGCTCCTTCTGGTCAGAAGCGGCGGAAAGATAGTAAGATAGAGGCCACGGATCGGATCAAGGTATTCAGGCTAGAGACTGAGCACCTATCCTCCGTGTCTTCTAAAAATTAGGGATGAAACACTCTCCCATAGCCAAGTTCAGTCAAATTTCGCCACACCGAAGATCTTGGCCCACAAGGCAATGATTCAAGATACTCCAACGAGATCAGTCTCCACTAAAGCTCAACCAAGTCTATGAGTAATTCCTAGCATGTCGTAATTTAAATGATCGCTCCTCTCGCAGACTCAGTCCTTGGCCTCTATTGACCCCAAATACACGCCTACGAGAATATGTGTACCCGTTGCCGAAGACAAAGCGTGGTATACAAATCTCAAAGGCAGTCATATGGAATAGACATGAGATATGTAAGGACAAATGAACAGAATTATGCTGAATAAGGATGCAATCTTCAAATGGGAGGGATTCCAACCTTTGGCAAGAAAATTTTCACATTGATCATTGTGCATTGAGCGCTACACTTAGGCTGAAAATGACCAATAGTGACAGTAACTGTTCCAAGGTATTGAAATACCGGAAAAAACATACAAATAATCAGATTAAAAATAGTTACAGGAGCTTATAAAACGGCCAGCACAAGGGTGCTCGAACACGAGACTGCTACACTGCCTATAGAAATTTACCTGAAGCATCGAAGGCTCCAAAACATGGCCACTTGAAGAGCCTGCCGGCTCAAAATATTACGCAGTCTACTTGTAGTACCAAGCTGCCTAAGAGTAGTAAGAAGTGAATTGATGTGGAGTTTTTATTGTATTATTTGAGTCGTAGACTATCTAACACATTGGTTTCCTCTTTGACCCAGGCTACACCTTGTACAGTGATCCTATCCTCTTTTGTTACTTGAAAGATCATTGATATATTCCCCTTGATGAATAGCCATTCAGCTCAGTATTTACCCGTGGAATTCAGCCACCTTTTCCACGGAACCTTCTACCCAAAAAATTTAAAAATGGTAGCAATGGAAACTGCGTGCGCGGGAAAAAGTCTCAAAAAGCCTGCAGGCCCAGCCAGGCGAGGCCTGGACACCGGGACCACATGAGGTGCGCATATTCATCTATATCTCCCTTCTTTGTAACAGTCGAGGTCGACTTGATCCAATCCGCCATCTCCGTATCGGGTGCTGAGCACGCTCCGAAACTAATCGGATGGCATATCCTCCATGACCAATAGTTGGTGATGAGTAGGGCTCCGACCCTACCATCTGATCTGATCGTGGTTAGCTTCATGATAATGGTGATAGGGGAATGTGTTGAGAGATGAAGACGATATAGACCGCGAAAGCAATTGGGAATCCTCGTCGAAATGAGTACTTTGTTACTCAATCTCGGCTCTGCAGACTTTACAGTGAGAGCTGGAGGCTCGTAGGGGATACCACTGACAGGTGTTGAGAATAGTCCCCTATTGATAATTGTTTAAAAGAACCATTGCATAGATTTTATTTATATTCCCCCTCTCTGGCCTTTAATACAAGGTAATAGAGTCTATAACAGTCGCACTAGGGTGTACGATATACGTTCGAGGAACATCCCACAATTATGTTCTACATAACCTCATTCCGAGCGGTTGAACAGCACTATCCCACATTATTATAGGACTAGTAAGGTATTCAAGAAGGCAAAGTAAATTAATAATTTATGATCAAAATAGTCAGTGGTAAAGCAAGGCGTTTTGCTCACTATCAGGTATGGATTGGCTGATTTCCTCACTGTCTACATGAAAATAATTCAAAGTTAACATGGTTAAATAGATCAAATATATAGTTAGTTTCTCATGTAGATTCTGGAAATCCTCCATACTCATTGACCCAGATAGGACTTTAATAAAATCCAATCTAATCTATGGATTAACTTATCTGCGAGAGTGTACCGACAGACTTATGCTCTGCTGCGTTACTTCCAAATCTATGATTCAGTAATCTTTAAGAAAATCATAACTAAACTGATTTCGTCGCACATTGCTACCCTTCCGCCGAGTTCGAAGAGACCACCCAGCTAGACGTTGTAGACATGTTTGAATCTAAGAAGATCATTGTCTGCATTCCATTTCTTCTCTAATTTGAACTTCGGGATAGAACGGGGTCTTGATTAAGGCCTATGTATATCTTGAAATGAAGTATCTACTTCAAATTAGCCTAAATCACCTTATCTGAGCTGTCTTTAGTAGTTAAGGCTTCTTTAGACTCATAGAAAGTATAAGTTCTTACGGATAGTGTTTGGCTTGATCCTGACGATGCTGAGTCCACGGTGAGATATGGAGGTTGATGGGGGATATAACTGATTGGCCTTGAATCTTCGCTCCTCTATTCATTCTTGTCTGTACATGCAGAGTCCATTAACTCTTCGATCCTAACCTGTATGACCAAAGATAAGGTTAACTCCACCTTAGAATAAATCATTTAAAATATGATTAGTTTATCATCAATAATTTGGTTCGCAGGGCTGCAATTGCTAAGAATTGCTTCCTTGAGTTGCCTATGGTGCATTTCACCACTACTTAAGAAGAAAACATTAGTGCAAAGCAAATCTAGAACAAGGTTACATTTTATGAGTATTATCCATCAATTTACCTATCATATAGATCCACCAAATTGGTTCAGATCAGTAAATTACATATCAATCATATATTGTGTTGTAGGCTTGAAAGAAACTGACCACTTAAAATTTCTTCATGTCAAGACACAGATAGTTTACCACTGCACCACCACGTTCAAATCTAACCAGTTGGAAGTGTAAGCGTACCCACTATAGAAATCAAATTTCGTCATAGTAGAAAAAATTTAAATTCAAAGTCAATGCCTGGTGTTGAATAACAGAAGCTCTCACACCTAACATACAGCAAATAGAAAAATGGTTAAAAAAGCAGTGTGAGTTTAAACCTTTTTAATAAGTAGAGTAAGCGTTTTTAACTTACCAATTTCAGAGATTCGCGGATTCCAGCTCTTATTCGCAATGGAATTCAAGAAAAAAACCGGAGCTTTTTTGTTGTTGTTGGGGAGAGAGCTAAAGATGTTATTGTCCATCTCCACTACATTATGTCAAGCATGGATATGAAGCAAAATAAATCAGTTCTCTGGGCATATAAACATAAACTTCTTGGATTCACTAGGTATAGATATGATTTTTCAAGGTTAGACTAAGCTAATCATAAATTTCCGAAAAGCCACCGCAAAAAGCGCGAAAATAAAATCAAGAAAGAAGTAAAAAGAGGCATCAGAGAAGCGAATACAGAGGATCCCTTTGAGCTGTTTGTATCTTTACATAATATTCGATATGTATATTATAAAGAGACCGAGAAAATACTAGGTAACACCTACGGAATGTGTATCTTGCAGGACTTCGAAGCAATTACACCTAATCTCTTGGCAAGGACCATTGAAACTGTGGAGGGCGGTGGAATGTTGATTCTTTTACTCAAGGGTATGAATAGTCTAAAGCAACTTTATACACTATCTATGGATATTCACTCTCGATATCGAACTGAAGCACACGATGAAGTCGTTGCAAGATTTAATGAAAGGTTCATATTATCATTAGGAAAGTGCGAATCTTGTCTCGTTATCGATGATGAACTCAATGTTCTACCTATATCTGGAGGTAAGAATGTAGTGGCGCTCCCACCTCCAGACCTAGATGAAGCCAAAAGCGAATCCCAAATCGAATTGGAAAAGACAAAGGAAGAGTACAACGACAAACAACCCATCGGATCCTTAATCGCCATTTCCAAGACTACAGATCAAGCGAAGGCCTTGTTATCTTTTGTTGACGCTATCACAGAGAAATCTTTGCGAGGAACCGTGACTCTTACAGCTGCTAGAGGGCGTGGAAAGTCAGCAGCTCTCGGTGTCGCAATAGCAGCTGCAGTTTCTCATGGTTACAGTAATATATTTATTACTTCACCAAGCCCTGAAAATCTGAAAACACTCTTTGAGTTTATTTTCAAGGGATTCGATGCCTTAAATTATCTAGACCATGAGGACTATTCCATCATTCAGTCAACAAATCCTGACTTTAACAAAGCTATAGTCCGCGTTAATATTCATAGACAACATCGGCAAACTATACAATACATTAGACCTCAGGACGCACAAGTTTTGGGTCAAGCGGAGCTACTTGTCATCGATGAAGCAGCAGCTATTCCATTGCCCTTAGTACGTAAACTTATGGGACCGTATTTGGTATTCATGGCGTCAACAATCAACGGTTACGAGGGAACAGGAAGATCATTGTCCTTGAAGCTTATAAAGCAACTTCGCGATCAATCGAGAGTAGTTAGTAAACCTAGCAAAAGTGATATGGTATTAGCAGACCGCTCGACAGGAAAATCCGCTAAGCTTCACGATCCAAATTTTGGAGGGAGTAGGACACTTCGTGAAGTAACATTACACGAACCAATCCGATATTCAAAAGGGGACCCGGTCGAAAGATGGCTCAATTCTCTCCTTTGTCTCGACGCTACACTTCCCAGATCTTCCCTTAATACGTCGCAAGGATGTCCTGATCCTTCACAATGTGAACTACTCAGCGTTAATCGAGATACGCTTTTTTCATTCCATGAGGTTTCAGAAAAATTCTTACAACAAATAATTGCCTTATATGTGGCCAGTCATTACAAAAACTCTCCAGATGATCTCCAATTAATGAGTGACGCTCCTGCGCACAGGGTATTTGTCCTTGTACCACCAGTACGAGAAGATATGAAGCACCTACCAGAGCCATTATGTGTGATACAGGTTGCTCTAGAAGGTAAGATAAGTAGAGAGAGTGTTATGAACAGTTTAAGTAGGGGAAAAAGGGCAGCAGGAGACCTTATTCCGTGGACTGTGAGCCAACAATTTCAGGATGACGAGTTTGCTGGGCTATCCGGGGCCCGCATTGTCCGAATAGCCACAAATCCAGAGTACATAAACATGGGATACGGGTCTAAAGCTCTTGAACTGTTAATTGACTTCTACGGAGACAAATTTACAAACTTGTCCGAGACCAAAATTGGAAGAGGCGAGGAATCAATTAAGAGAATCACAGACACCGAGCTTGCTAACTCATCCTTACTTACCGACGATATTAAAGTTAGAGATATCACAACTATGCCACCACTTTTCTCCAAATTATCAGATCGTCTCCCTGACAGACTAGACTATGTCGGAGTGAGCTTTGGTTTGACTCAGCCTCTCCACCGCTTCTGGAAGAGAGCTGCATTCGCACCTGTTTACTTAAGACAAACTCCGAATGAGCTAACTGGAGAGCACACTTGTGTCATGATAAAGCCCCTTGGGACTAATATCTCCTGGCTAGGTTCCTTTTCAAGAGACTTTGAACTACGCTTTCTGAAGCTTCTCAAATACCAGTTCAAAGAATTTCCCTCCATATTGGCTCTCAGCATTGATGAGTCAGCTAGCCTTGGTGCAAAGTTTGATGAATCCGACCAAACTCGATCATTTTCAAAGGAGGATCTTGATCGTATGATGTCTCCATTTGATTTAAAAAGGCTTGAATCATATGCAAATAATATGCTAGATTACCATGTGATACTTGATCTAGTTCCGGACCTCGCCTTTGCCTATTTCAATGGTCAGCTTAAGTCAAACCTCAAATTAACTGGTATTCAGTCTTCAATTCTTCTGGCTATTGGGTTACAATGTAAAGATTTGACGGATGTTGAGAAAGAACTTTCATTACCATCTTCACAGCTTCTCGCTATGTTCATTAAAATCATGCGTAAGATCAGTTCTCATTTTGCGGAATTAGTGTCCGATTCGCACGAAGCCAACATGCCTGCAAGAGAGGCTATTGGTGTAAGTAGAGCAGATGCGAACGCAGCTCTGGACGATGAGGTCATCGATACTCAGTACGTAGCTCTAGAGACAAATTTAGAGGAAGAGCTTGAAGAGGGTGGAAACGAGGCCTTAAAAGAACTTAAGGAAAAACAAAGGGAGTTGATAAATGCTCTTCCCTTAGACCAGTGAGTCACTATGCCCGAACGAAATTCATAACCCTGATAGATTCTAGATATGAAATCGAGCAGGGGGCCCCAGGCTGGGCTGATGCCGAGAAGCAAGTACTTAAGGCTTCAAAGAGTGGTAAAAAAAACCCAGTCGTCAGTATCAAGGGTAAAAAGTTAAAGCGGAAGGTGTCAGAAACAGCCGCAGAAATATTTGAATCAGAAATTGGGGAAAAAAATTTGAAGAAGTCAAAAAAATTACATAGAAATTAAAAAAAATGACAATATCGGAGTTCAGAGATAAAGGATGGCGTTATGAGCAATGGGTTCCGGGAACAAATTTTCTGTAACTAATATCAGTCTGGATGAAGCAACCAATGGGCCATTTCATTTATGTATACCTCTAGATCATCGCCCTTTCAAAAAAGAAATTGTTTAAATTAAATCGTGTTGCAATTAATTCTTAGTATGTGTAAAGCTAAGGATAATTAGGATAGTTTTATGAGAATAATCTCGGGTATTTATTATAATGGTAGAGTATCGACGGGCCTTATAATCAACACTAATTTGACTAAGCGGCTTGAGAAGCTCTGCCAGTATTCTAGTGATGAAGCATATTTACTCATTAGAGTTAACAGCTTTTACAGTTCTATAAAGTGGATGAAGAGCAATGGTAAACCTAAAGTTTGTCAATAAACACATAGATTCAGCACCGATGTAGAAAGACCCTGTATATTACCAGTTCGAAACTTCCAGCATCAAGGCGTCCCTAACTATCAGGGCATACATCGGCACTAGTCTTGGCCTAAAATCTTTGAGTGAATTTCAAATGTTGGAAATATAGCACAAAGGGACGGGCACTAAATCCTTGGAAAGAAGCTAGCTACCCGTATGTCATGCTCAAGTCAATATGAAAAGAAGGGGAGTTGCGCGCTATAAAAAAATAAATTATTCAATTTTCCTGATTTGGCGCCTTGAGGCCCATGCAGGTTTTATCGGAAGATATTTACTTAAAGTAGGATGACTCAATTTGACGTTTAAAATACTCACACTCAGATTTCATTTGCAAATACCACGAAAGAGATTGGTGTGTGGGTCGTTCTGGATTTGAACCAGCTTTCTCCTATCTCAAACGGGGTAGGTGTTCAAGCTACCCAGAATCTATTTGGGAGAACGGTCCGAATGGTATACCGCTGCACCATCCAGCCCTGAATGGTGTAAAAGGCCGCGCTATCCAGGCAGCAATTGGAAGATCAACTCGGACGACGCTTCATTGCACCATCATAGTTTCCTCTCAAATAACGATATCTTAGGAGGGCAAGACTGAATACCTGTACGCGGTGCCTTCTACGACACGCCCACGCCGATATTTACACCCGACGGAGGAAGCAAACCGTGCTGCACAAATCTGGGAGATAGTTCTTTGCGATGGACGTGAGAGGAATCAGGACATGTTGACAAGATGATGCAAAGGAAGGATATAACCTCGACGGGCATGAGATTCCGAATTTTGGCAAGGAGTTTTACGAATTGAGCTTTGTGTGCGCCAAGACTTCACTTGCGAGAGTGCAGCTGACACTATAAACACAAGCAAACGATGAAAGGTGTTGTGGTCCGCCTCCTGGTGGTGTTCTCTGGCATAGTTTGAGTAGCCTGGGCACCTACTCCACTTGGGAAAGAGACACCTCAGATCACATTTCGCCCGGAGAAAAGTTGAAAGATGATGGAAGCATGTCTGGATAACTCAGGGTTTTTGAGACGTTCCCCTGGGTGGGTATTCACGGACGAGGGTTGACTTGGGGTGAAGAAAAAGCCGCCATAACTTCGCAGTGGTTTTCGCAAATGAAATACGAGGTATGAGTGCTCTTCTTGTATATTGAGTCATATTTTCCGTACTTTTCTTCGATATTGTGTCATAGCTAGATAGCTGCATACGTAATACAAATCTGGTGCAAAAAAAGAAGTGGGTGCATTCGTTGATACCACTCGGGACTTTGGTTCTAGGGACTTTCACCCTTCTCTAAACCGTTAATATTCGCCCAAGGGAAAACAGGAAATACCTTTGCCATCCTTTATATAGCCGCCGCGCGAGATATTTACTTATTTATTTATAATATTTAACGTCGTGCCACGCACAGCACGTGAGTTCCTCAAGTACTGGTTAGTCCAGTCTAAATTAAACTACCCGACGTGTTGGCGCCCTCACAGACCCACCAAAGCAAAGAATAGCTAGGATTTAATCATCCTACGCTCGAAGATTATAGTGCACATGAAGGTCGTCCGTCCAACAAATCTCATGCTATGCCGTTGGTACTAAATCAAGAAAAGATTTTACAAAACAAAATAAAAGATAAAAGGAGAAGATTGTTTACACCAGATCGTGATTTCGTTCGAATCAGACTATTCGTTGTGCCCTTTCGAAGAAATCTGTGACACGCACCCAATTATTGAATGCATCAACTCCCTCCGCCGAAGCAAGTGCCCAGGATACGCTGGAATTAGAGTTCTATGCCCTGTGGAGCTGAGCTTGGTATTGCCGGAGGTGGCAATAGAAAAAGTGGTTAGGGGTCTTCTCTTCTCCGCACGTGCAGGTTAGAATGGCGTTTTCATGCTGAAACCATCGGTGGTAGTCCGCGAAGTCGCTATGTCCAGACCGTGCAGCTAATAGATATCCTAGTGTGTGTCGCCCTAGACAGGCGAGCTCAACGGTGATTTTAGTATTAGGGCCAATTCCTAGTTCTTTGTATCTAGAAGGGGCATTTTCTGCCCAATATAGTGCGACTGAAGCCTCGTATTGGGCTTTGACTTTTCTCCTTGCCCTCGCAATGGAGAGTTCTAAGTGTGGAGCTGGAGCCGCACAGGCAGCTTTGGCAAGCGCGTCGGCTGCTCCGTTCCCGAGAATACCTGCGTGGCCTGGGCACCATCGGATAGCCACTTTCCCAGGCGTCGTATTTTGACCGCGTGATCTTCTTTTCCAGTTCATTGCGAGCTTGCGAAAGGTTAGTATTTTTGCCGAGCTGGACGCTGTGGGCGTATCCAAGAGCAGACGGATGGCAGCCTCCTGGTTGTCAAGGCAGACAGTGACGTTAGAGGCATAATAGGCCAGTAGGTTGCGAAGAGCTACGGCAAGACCTTCAGTGGCCCCGGCAATTTATGCATCATACACTTCTGCCGAGTTTCCGAGCGGGAGTGATCCTCGTCCAATCTCTTGCGTACGACCTCGGTAGATGACATAGCCCACACCTGCTCGGTCGTCTATTAGAGCTCCGTCTGAGAATACGAACAAGTCAAGAGTAGATCGTGTAGCCTGCCACTGTTTGAAGGGATTTGATCCCAGGAGTCTACCTACTGCACCAATTTCGATGAGCTTTTCTTCACGGGATGACGACGACGGTGGAGGGATGATGTCCTCGGAAAGTTCTGGCGAGATTCTTTGACGGATCCAGCACATGCGGCTAGTGTTCCAACGCCTACGAAGAGGATGATAGAGGTCAGCTGCAGCAATTCGAACCGCTAGACGGCTGTGAATTCTGTTAAGCCACGTCTGAGCTGGGCCCCAGCCAGCTTCACGTAGAAGTGCTGCTATTGGTGTGGTACGGTAGACTGGGAGAGCTGCCCGTGCCGCGTCGTTCATCCAATGTTGGATTTGCAAGATAATTTTTTGGGAAGTCTGTTTAGAGTACCAGGTCTCAGCCCCGTAGAAAAGGGTCGCAAAGGCAGCACCTTGTAGAGCTTGTCTTAGAAAAAGAGGGCTTATTCCTCGAGTGGTTGTGGACAGTCTTTTCATATGGCTCGTGATAGCTAGAGACTTCCGGCAAGCCTGTATAGTATGATATTGGAACCGAAGAGCACGGTCGAAAAATATTCCAAGCCAGCGAGTGTGGTCATTGGGCGTTATAGTTGTCCCTCTAACACTAAGAGTAGGCTCTAGTGGTGAACCTCGCTTGCGGTGAAAGTATTGCAGCTCAGTCTTAGGAAGTTCGAAACTAATTCCGTTAGTAAGTCCCCATGCTATGGTGCTGTCTAATTTCTCCTGGAGTTTGCGTGCACACTCGACAAGGGAGGGCGCAGACGCAAAGAGGGCAATATCATCTGCGTAGCCAAAGCGGCCAGTGGAAAGACGTTGTGCCTCTTCCATAGCAAGAAGAAAAAGAATTGGGGATACAGGTCAGCCCTGTGGGAGACCACAGTGAGTTTGGAAGGGCGGAGAGATAGTATCTTCAATAGAGATTGTGGATTCCCGCTCTTCCATGAAAGATACCACCCAGCGAACCACGTTCGGTGGCCATCCTTGGATTCGAAGTCTATGGCAGAGTCGTCCTTTCTGGATACCATCAAATGCTCCTTGGACATCAACAGTCACTATACCAGCTACTTTCTTTTCCGCCCATTTTGCCTGAATATCACAAGTGAGAGCTGTGGTAAGGTCAGAAGCGGAGCGAAGAGGGATGGCACTGCATTGGTCTTTGGCGAGTACCCGATATTTCAGAGCTATGTATGAAAGTTGCCGTACTATCAGTCTCTCAAAGCCTTTAGCAAGGCACTAAAGTAGAGAGATTGGTCTATAAGACTTCAGGAGGGTAAGATCTCGGTTTCCTGATTTCGGAAGGATAGTCACTGTTGACTTCTTAAAGGCTAGCGGGTGTATTCCTAGCTTTTCACACCGGTGGAAGAGTGCTGACACCCTATTGCCAATTATTGGCCATGCTCGACGGAGAGAATTCGGGGTTATTTCGTCAGGTCCTGGGGTTGTAGACGAGACCTGACAGCATGCGCGAAATATCTCTTCCTCGGTGATTGGGTGCCATGAGAGATCTTTCCTGGTAACACTTGGTGTATTGATGGGAATGTCGTCTTGGGGCGAGAATCTACTCAGTAGGGCCTGTCGAAAAGTCTGAGCTTTTGCTTCAGGAGTAGCTACAGGGCCATGAGGTCCGACTAGAGGGGGCATAGGGCTGGCTGTTTGTTTCTTGTGCCACCTAGTTATTTTATATGCCTTTGTGAGACTCGCTACCTGGTCAATCTTGTTACGCCAGTAATCTCGCTTGGCATTTTGAACAGTTTTGGCAAATTTGCGGCGTGCATTCGCGGCATGTAAGCCCTGTCGACGTATTTGACAAAAGTTACGGTGAACCTCTGAGCATACCTCAGTCCACCAGCGACGTCCGCAACTATGTTTTCTTGGCCTTTGGCAGGCCACACGTAAGGCTCCTGATATGGCCTCTGCAAGAAAGGTGGCTTCCTCGTTAACGTCAGGCATTTGGGTGTTTCTG